GTTGTTGTTGTTGTGGAACCAAGGATTGAACTCAGGCCCTTGCACTTGCCAGGGAAGCACTTATTTTATTGATGTCACTGAGAGCATGAAAAACATTAACAATTCCTGAGAAAAGTCACACAAATTATTTGAGTTTTTCCTCCTGTAACACAACCTTGATTATGTTTTGCCTATTCCTTTACTATATTAGTGCTTATTTCTTGTTTCTTACATTCAGTACATCTTTATTTGTATTTTATTTCAATTCACAGTAGCACTAAAGATTGAAACCAAGACTTTCTCACGGAGTTACATCCCCAACTCTTGTTTATTTTTTATATTGGAACAGGATTGATAAGTCTGATGTCTTTATTAGATTAGATTCAAACTTGTGCTGTCCCTGCCTCAGCCTTCCTTCCAGAGTTCTGGGATTATAAGCATCTGGTTTAGGTACTATTCAGTGCTTCTGATGTATAATGGCCTTGGAAACAAGAAGCAATATAAGAGGAATTGTAACAAAAATTTTACCACAAAGCATATTTCAATGAGGGCCAGAGGGTCTGCCATAGCTAGAGGAAAGTGAAGAGAGGATAACGAGGGCCAAAAGAGCAAAAAGAGGAGAGACACAGTCTAAGAAGGTTGGGCCGCTTAGTTAGAAAAGGATCAAGAGCTGACGTGGGTGTACAATGATCACTTTCTTAAAATCTTTGAAGCTCTTGAGATGTCAAAGGACAGCTTCGGGAGCACACTTTGTCGTGTTGATCCCGAGCGTAGTGCTAAGATGAAGTTCATGTATGCACACTGGAGTGCAGCAGCTAGAATTGGGAAACCCACGAAGATGGCTTTCTGAGCAAATTTGGGGTTTTCTGGGAGAGAATTCAAGGTTTCTTGGACATGCATTTGAACTTAAATTAGAAACACAATTATGGTGAGAGTACACTCCACATGAATACAGTGATTACTTGCTGGTTGGTTGAAAATAGGCTTTTTCAGATCAGCAGGAAGCAGAACTAGTGTGGGGCCTGGTCCCTGTATTCTCCAACAATGGTAATTTTAGTGAGGTTTAAGGGTGCTTGTGTGTGTGTGTGTGTGTGTGTGTGTGTGAGAGAGAGAGAGAGAGAGAGACAGAAAGAGAGAAAGTATGTGTGAGTGTGTCTGTAAAAGTGTGTGTGTGTGCGAGTTGTGAGAGTGTGTGAGACAGTGAAAGTGTGTGTGTGGAAGAGAGTGAAAGTGTGTGTGTAAGTGTGTGTGTGAAAGAGTGTATGTGTGAGTGTATGCACCTACATATTTGGGTGCACATAGTGCATATATGTGTGGGTAATTTTAGGACTATTGAAACACTTCCAAAACTGCAGTACATTTTGAATAGAAAAATTTATTCACATTTTGTTTCTTAAAATTTTATAATTCCCTTAGAAAGTTCTTCTGTGCCTGGTATGTCCTGTCTGGAATATTGGATTGAAATTTAATTGTGATCTCTTTCATTAATTAATTTACTTCGTTGTATGTACTTGGTGGTAAGTCAATTACGGACCATTGTGCCATACAGTAGGCACATAGACATTTGCTGCAGCAGCCAATCAGCTTCACAGTGGAAGGAAATTACATCCCCAAAGTGAATGAAGACATAGGCAAAGACATTATGTCTATGAGCAATGGTGAAGAAGAAGCTGCCCTTATTTTCCATTAATTTATATCTCACCTTCATTTCTATCGAGTAGGCCACCCTATAAACAGGGTGGTCTCTGAATCATGGTCCTCACCATTTTAACCTGTTTCATTGGTCTTTGCATTCAGTTAAGTGAAATGATCAATTCCTAATTTTTTCTTCATGCCAAGGATCTGGGGGGCTATGTGGATGCCATCCTCTGTGCCTGGGACCCAGAACTTAAATTCAGAGCACACCTTCACTTGCACTGCATGAAGGTTTTCTAGTTCCTCTGGCGAAAAAAATTATTACTGCTCTTTTTATCTCTGAGTATTATTTTTCCTTTTGCTTTCCCATTCCCCTCTCTCTTGTTTTTGCTGCTTCTTCCTTCTACAACTCAATGTCTTTTTATTACTTTTGTTCTACTCACTCTGTCTTATTTCCTCCCATGCATCCTGTATTTCCTTCTTTGTCCTCTAAGCAGCTTCTAGTAATCTTTCTCTTATACTTATCTTTTCCCCTTCTTTCTTCTCCCATATCCCTTCACTTCATGCTGCTTCTCCTAATTCTCCTACCTTCCAGACTCTTCATGCATGGGACAGAAATGGAGGAAGGAGTTTAGTGTCCAGTACACCAGTCCAGTTGCTAGAATAAACTTCTGAACCATTGTTTGCTGCTGCAAAAACACAGCTGAAATTAAAAAAGTCTTGCGTAAGGCACTCCATAGGTGAGGGGCAGAGGCCCAGAACCTGTGCCTTTCCATCCAGGCTCAGGCGCTGGTCACCATGCCTTCCTCTTCTATCTGCAGTGCCTGTGTTTTCCCTCAGAATTAGCACAGTCTCCTGCCACTTGACTTTCCTCCTACAGTTGTTAGAATGTGGGCTTGGCTGAGGGGAGGGAGGAGGATGTTGGGGAGAGATCTTCCTTTGTCACTTCACATTGGTTTTGTGGTTTTTTGTTTCTGTTGGTACTGGGAATTGAACTCAGGACCTTGTGCTTGCCAGGCAGGCACTGTGCCACTGAGCTATCTCACCAGCCCTTGTCACCTCACACTTGTGAGTCCCTCCCAGTAACTCTAGTTCTACCACATATATCAGTTTTGTAGGCTTTCCTCATTTTCTTCTCCTGTTCTTCCTGTAGCCTTGTTACCTGTTGGAAATATGCATGACTGTCTTACCGTTCCACAACTATGTGGGTGAAAGTTGTTCTGTGTCTTTAATGTCTTGCTCTGAATTTTGGGTTCCCGTGTGGTTGTGGTCTCTTCCATTGATTGGTTTTGCTTCATGGACTTTGGGGCAGGAAAACTGGAGATCTTTATGCCATCATGTAAGTATGTTCACCTTCACTTTGCTGACCAGTGAGCCTACCCACATATGCGAGAGGGACACATGGTCTCCGAGTGGAGATCATGTTCTGGGTTTGGAGGTGTAGTCCTGCTCCTTCAAGTACAAAAGTAGCTCCAAGGGAATCCCCTGTTCTAGATGGGAGCCCAAGTATTTAAAATACAATTCTAGTTTCAGGGACATGTTATGTGCTGATTAATCTTGGGAGTAGATTGTCTTTTGCTGAATTGATTTTAGCATGGATTATTACTAAATAATTCTGATAATCCTTCCTAAAAATGTGGTTTGTGGATGAGTGTTTGTGGGTGAGTGCAGTGACTCAATAAGGGCACAATATATAAAGCCTTAAGGATAGTTCTAGAATCCAGGGTTGGAGAAGTACAACCAGTGTAGTACCTAAGGAGTAGGCATGTGCCCTAGCTTCATGTGGCAGAAAAAAATACAGTACCTTAGACTGTGGTACTCTGCCCCATTACATACACTGACTCTTGTGTGGAGTCTGTTTGCGATAGCTGTGTTACTAATACGTTCAGTGGGATTGGGTGTGCTGATCTAAAGCAACACTTTCTGATTTAGTGTAGTGAAACATCAGGTAGGCTGGCTGGGATGCGGTAAGATAAGCAGGGGTGGCAGAATCAGGAAAAGAGAAAGCCAGTAGTGGGATAATTGTGCTTCCTGGGAATCTGCTGTGTCGTGTGTGTGTGTGTGTGTGTGTGCGCGCGCGCGCGCGTGTGTGTGTGTGTGTGTGTGTGTTCCAGTAGTCAATAGAATCACTCCTTAATTTAACAGTATTAGGAGGCGGACCCTTTCCAAAGTGAGTGGAATATGCATGGAATTAGTGCCTTTATCAAAGAAACTAAAACACATTTCCTAGCCTCTCCCCTTATATGAAGATACAGAAGACACCAACTAAGAGGAATAGGCCCTCATCTGACATCAGATCTGTCAATAACTTGATCTTGGATTTCCCAGACTCCAGAGTTGTGAAAGATCATTTCTATTGTTTATAAATTACTGACTCTAAGATTTTTGTTGTGGCCACCAAAAACAAATAGACTACTCAGTCTACAAATCCACAACTCAGTCAACAAATAGATTAAGATAATAATAGTACCATTTTCCAACATGGAAATTACATGATGAGATTCATCCATTAACACAAAAATATTTAATGAGCACCATATTAGTAGCAAGCCCCTATTCTACAAGCTTAAAATACAGAGGCTGACCAAAGCTGTTGCCTGTCACAAGCTCCTAGATTAGATGGGAATGCAACTAAGTAAGCAGTACACTTAAGGAAAATGAGTGCAAAGAGTGTACACCAAGCAATATCTGTTATCTCCAAATCTTGGTCATTGAACTCAACAAATGTTTATTAGTGATTGATGCAAAGTCTCTTGTGGACCCAGCCAACTCTCCCAGGAAGTTGTCCGTTGTGTGTTAGTACATCGTTCCCAACTTTTAAAATCTCATGGCAGCATCATGTCAGCATGTTTCCAGGGTCACCCTGACACAGAGGGTCTTGCATTAAACACTGACCATTCCAAGTACAGGGGGACTGATTACTTCTTCCCACAACTAGGACCTGTCACATTACCCTTCTTTCCTTTAAGTGGTCTAGGGGCTGGGAGTACAATGATCCTGTGATCCTGAAAGCTGAGGAGAATTGGATCTTGCAACATTTATAAACTAACACTGTTAAGGTCAGCACAATGTGAGAACCCAGCACAGATAACCATTGAGGGTCTCCAGGGCATTCTTCGAGGTGTGTAGTCTGGATCCTGCTGTGATTTTCAGTCTATCTAGAAGTATGCCTACTTTGTACCTATACCCAGCATATTCTCTGTGAAGAGGTAGCACAGGTGAGAAGTTTCTCATAGATTTTCCTCCAGCTGTGTCAGACTCAGACCTGCTTCGGTGGAAGTACAAAGTTGGCTGTCTTCAGAGTACTGTAGTACTGTGTTGGACTCTCTCTAACTGAAGGCAACATACTTTCATGACACTCTTCTTTTCTACTTTGTTTCATTCAGATGCAGTGACTGAAGTCAAGACGGACATCTATGTGACCAGCTTCGGCCCCGTGTCAGACACTGATATGGTAAGTGTAGCTCCTGAAAAGCTAAAGGTGAAAGATGATGCAAGAGATCAAAGACAACAAAGCTGGGATTTTCCTATGTAGCTGCATTTTAGGAGGACATCTTATCTCATCTAGAATCTCTACTCTCACCTCCCTATATTTAACCAAATCAAGTTTCCCTGGTCTCCTCACTGATTCACATTTAAAGCACCCACACACAGGAGAAATACCCTTCTCTTCTTCAGAATCTGGGCATGGCTCCTTATCTGCTGCTAAATCTTCTCTGCCCATTCCCTTCCCAGTTTCCTGGTACTACACACAATTGGCACACACAGGTCATAAGAGAAGAGCGCCCTCATAGACATGCTTGGTCAAGTAGCTTGTGTTGTCTCAAAAAGTCTGCTCCTTGCAGCTGGCCTCCACTTGTTGGGGATAAGGACTTACCAGATGCAGTCAAGCCTACCTGTAGAAAACTGTCCTTCCATGGAATGTGGAGGGGTGAACTTCAGGGTCCGCTCAAGGGCTATGGCAGAGCACGCACAGCAAACAAGTAGATGGCTCCTGTGCCATGACTGAGGATTGCCCTTTCTTGCTACATTCTCTTTTGCTGCAAAGCAAAGAATGCAGTGGAGAGTTGAGGCCAGAGACTCAACCCTAAAAGGCCACCTGTTAGTATCTACTCATAACAGCTATTAGATTTAGTCATCATATGGAGAAGCAAAGAGGGAACTGCTCTGTGTGCCTGTGAATTTTTGTTCAATGAGTAACTGTGTTGAGAATAGAAATCTTAATACCTGGGTGGATATGTTTCTATAATATAAGATGTCCTTGTTCACCACTTAACTTGTTTCTATACATCTATTTTCAGTAGGACTACTACCTGTCAGAGGAGAAGGCTTCTTTCAACCTGCTGTGTGAATATAGTTGTGCAGGGAAGCAGTAGGTAATACAGAGCCATTAAGTGGATTTGAGTAGGATGGTGACAATATAACAGTGCTGTTTTAGAATGATTTATCTAGTAGTCTGCACCAAATGAGCTGCAAAAGGCAAAATCTGATGGCTGAGAGTTGATTTAGGCATGTTGATTTTATATGACTCTTCAATCAGCAGTGAGGTCTAGGAATCAGTTGGAGAAGCCGACTTGCTTTCAGAAGAGGAAATCATCAGTATGTGAGTGGTTCAAAGGCCAGGCAGGGAAGAGAGAGGCCCAAACTTTGTCTTTTAAGTGGAATAAAGAGAAATGTACAGTGAGCTCCTCTGAACTACTTAAGGACAAATACGAAGTCTCCAAGGCTTACCTGGCTCTTAACAGAGCACTTGACAGACACAACACTCAGTAAAGGGCATGTTTGATGTATGAAGAATAGAGAAGATGGCAAAGAAGCCTGTGAGTCTAGATTGATCCCTCTCAACCTGTTGGCTAATGCCCACAGCTTCAGATGCAGGCACGCATTAAAATTGTTGCCAGCTGGTCACTCAATAAGCACTCTTTAAGAGGCCAGCGTTTCATTAAGGGCCCTAGAGACCTCTGTGG